ATATATATATATATATATATATATATATATATATAGAGAGAGAGAGAGAGAGAGAGAAGATGCATACGATGCATACGATGCCTTAGTACACACAGATGCGCATTTTTGTGATTACTTGATAGCTAATAACTTTAAAGTACACTTGCCTTTGCTCAACATCGAGACTGTGTCAATGCCACTTATATTGCTGTTAGAGCCATCAGAGTAGGATGTGCCGATATGCTTATGCACCATACACCACATGGTATACAGACCATCCCATGGATTATTATATCACAGAAGAACACAACTCACCGCATGCACCCTGTTTTGACCACAGCAACGGATATCTGCTTCCGTGTTTCATATGATGAGCAGACCTGTACCGCGAATGCCGATGTCGAAGTGGGGCTTGGCTGTTCTATGGGTTTAGCACTCAATCGCGTAGCCGTTTATACTATTCAGTCGTTTTTTCGTGCACTCATATCTACTGAATATAAATTCATAATTTAGCCGATGCAATAACTGCAACGATTATGAATAAATATGATAGTACCGCTGCTGCTCTGTCTCTCATTAAACGACGTATTTTATTGTGTAATTAGTAATTCATTAACGCGTAGATCTTAATGATTATGTTATATATCAACGTAATGTGTATGATTTAATATGAAAGTTTACTTATTATACACTAACGGTGGCATTTATTTTTCACATCAGGAGTTACGTAAACTATTAAGCATGATATCAGCGTAATCTTGTTTGGAAAACAGACATCATCAAATTAATTCATACAATGATTCATGTTGTTGTAATCAAATCAAACACTTTAAAACCTTCCTTGTCGGTGAGCACGAAATGATTACTCTCCGTTGTCTTCACTTTTCGTCTTACGATTTAACTAGCGTAGTATTCGCAAACGGGTTGTAAACTCATTACTGCCATGTTGTATATTGCTTTCGCTCGGCTGCGACCGGAATTCCTCAGCGCTGATTCGAGTCACTTTCATTAGTGTTTGCGCGGTCTTTACAACACAAAATGAAACAGCGATGTATGGCCTAAACACGATTAGTTTATTCTGGGAACGCTTCCTCGTTATGACGAAATGGCCGGATACAAACAGAACGAGAGCAGGGTAGGTCGGAGAGTAACGGCTATCCGCAACAGTAGCAGCAGACGGAGCAGCAGCAGCGGCGGCGGTAGCGATAGCAGCAGAAGCAGCAGCGGCAGCGGCAGAAGCAGCAGTAGAATTAAGTAGCGGTAGACGCAGCAGCAGTGGCAGCAACATTAGTATTAGTAATAGCAGTAGTAATAGAAAAAATTATAGTAGTAGTAGTAGTAGTAGTAGTAGTAGTAGTAGTAGTAGTAGTAGTAGTAGTAGTAGTAGTAGTAGTAATAGTAGTGTAGTAGTAGTAGTAGCAGTAGTAGTAGTAGCTAGTAGTAGTATAGTAGTATTAGTAGTAGTAGTGGGTAGTAGTCGTAGTAGCGGTACAATGGTAGTAGTAAGTAGTAGTAGTGATAGTAGTAGTAGTAGTAGTAGTAGTAGTAGTAGTAGTAGTAGTAGTAGTAGTAGTAGTAGTAGTAGTAGTAGTAGTAGTTAAGTAGTAGTAGTAGT